TATTGTCGCAAATAATAAAGCTTGTATTGCGAAAACATAAAAAAAATGTATTATGTAAATATCAAATATGTCAGTAAGAACATGTGTTCTGCCCTTTTTAATATTCCACTGCTGGGGGTGGGCTTCCCTTCAATACGAGGAAGTCAGGCCATAGTCCGCCACGCTGGTCAAGTGCAGGTTGGCCAAGGCAAGGGCAGGATTGTAGTCCACACATGTTTTTCGAAAACTTACTAAGTTCTCTCGGACATGCAGGTTTCCTAACGACGTTCTCCTTCACATAACAAAAATAAAAACATTCTCGAGTCAACATAATACACGAATCAAAGTCATATTCACCTATTAGAAAATCATTACAGCCTACAGCCAGCTAAATTATTAGTTACTAGCGACTCACCCTCACTCCGCTCGGGTTCGTCTCCTAGATACGTTTAACAGTTAATATAGATTTCGGAGATGAGATATTTTCCAGCAGTAAAAAGTATCCTATATGGTGTACGTATCCGGATAAACCAGCTGTCATCATATCAAATTTCATCAAAATCTATTTAGTGGTTTTCTCGTGATACGTTCCAAGACAGAGAGACAAAATTCTAAAAACTATAGATTCGGCGTCTGTATCAATAACAATGACTATCTCAATTTTCCAAAAAAAATATTTAATGTACAGATTCGACTCAGTTAGAATTTTATTATATCTATAGATAACATAAAGCCAGAGTGTTTTTTTGTAGTTTGAACGCGGGCAAAGCTGCAGCTTCTGCTAGTGTAAAATAAAGTCCTTAAACAAAAAAACAATCACAAACAGGCCAAGAGATACGGCTCTCCTGAATCCATTCCAATTGCGCTTATTAAAAACTAATGACGCGCAGAACATTCTTAGAGCGCACTTACAAATGCAATTTCACAAGGAAAATACAAATTTAATGCTTAGTCAATTCTTCATTTACATTGACATATCTACTTGGAAAAATATCTTGTATTTATTAGTACATGGACGATAATTTAGAAAAACTATTATCAGGGCCTTTATTAACACAATAGAACCCAAAACAATGAGTTTAGAATTTTTGTCTGTTCTGTCGGTTTGTCTGTTTGTCTGTGCGTTTGTGCACGTTAATCTCAGAAATGGATTTGAATAACCAATTTCAATGCGGATTTAACTAATGTATTTTAGTAAGCTTTACTTAACTTTTAGTGTTTGTTTTATTTGAATTGGTTCATCAAATTAAATAAAAAGATACGTCAATTTAAAGAATCATATTAAACATTTATTAAAAAATTGACGACTATAGTAGATTCATGTTAAGAAAATAGTGAGTCATCGAGTGCAATGGCAGGCGTTTTCAAGTGGAGTAAAAATTAAATTCAAATATATTACAAAAGATTAATTTTAATGATTATCTCAAATCTTGATTTGAGACGATAATGACTTTATTTTGATTTAAGATAATTAATCAACTTAATTATGTCAAATCAAAATAAAGTCATTAGTAATATATTTATTATATCAAGAATCTAATCTAATATCAATCTTCTTGAATTCAGGTACGTTGATTCAAGATAAAAAAAATACCTAACGAGACGGGAGCGTTTCGCGTTTCTTCCACCTAGCCTTCTCACCTACCATAATACCAGATTTGTCACAGAGTACAAATACGTAAAGCAATGTAGGTCACAATCGGAAACAATATCTAATAAATTAATATAAATCTGTACAATGATAGCAGACAGATATGTTACGAATGTAATTTAATTTTTACTGTACTCCAAGTAGATATTACAAATATTATATATTCAAAATAAATAACGTATCATCTAACACGTTATTTTAACAATTAAGTAACTTAAGTCACTCACCGGTCTGTTACTATTCAACTGTTTGATGTGCAACTTAACTCAAGAAAAATATGAATGTAGGAACTAGAATAGGATAATAGGATAAATAGGATAGAATAGTATGTTAGGTGCTCAAGAAGTAAAATTGTGTTTAGTTTTATTAATTTAGATATTAGATAGTTCTCTAATATAGACATAATTCACAGTCAGTATTATAAGAAATCTTTTAGATATCTTATAGAAGATAAAATACGAGGCTATTTTATCATCCCAAACTGCTATTTACTAAATTAAATATAGGACTTCGAGTTAGCAGGCGTAGAGGGAAATCAAGGGGTATTTCACGCAGCAGTTGACACGCGCTATGTATGTATACATGTACATAAATTCGTTGGCTCACTATAACAAGGTTACAATTTTAGAACTTATTTAGTTATTAATACTAAAAGGTTCTATGTGTCATTAGCTACAGTTTTACAAAAACAAACCACTAGATAGCGGCACTTTAACCACAAAATATTCAATTTTACATAGTTCTATGTTGTTTTTTTTACGATAACAAAATAACGAAGTTCTATGTAAAAATTTCTAAACATCATTAAAATTAACATAGAGCCTTGTAATAGTAAGCCAACGTTTTTTTTTATCGTCGGGAAATGTATTTACGCATATCACCTGATCCCCCAGGTGGTGATGTGGGGCTCACTGGCTAGAAGAGCCGGTACTACCCACTAAAACCCGACATCCCTTCCCCCCGCCTTAGTGGGACGCCGCAGGATCGCTTGCACATAACTGCTACGGCGCACCGGCGGCAGGTCTGCCTAAGCATTAGGCAGGCCACCAAACCAATGGGGCTGCTCCACAGTCAACTCTGCTACGCCATAGAGGTACCCGGAGCAGCCCCACTATATCTAACCTCCGCCCACCGAAGTGGGCCACCTCCAATCGGCTGCAGAGGATAGGGAGAGCGGCAACGAAACACCGACACTCCTCTTTCCCTGCAGCCCCACCGCGTCCGCCATCAAACGATGGCGGCCCCGTCTAGGCCGCGGAAGGTAGGGAGAACGGCGCACCGAAATACCGGCACTCCTCTCCCGCCACGGCCTACCCCTCCACCGGATGCGGGCCTGCGACCACAGTCCCGCAATCGGCACCCATCATCCGGTTGTGGGACCAAGCGGTCCCACCACCGGTGGCCGCAACGCCTTCGGCTCGAGGCCTAGACGAGCGGCCCCATCCAAGCCATTTGGTCCGCGTCGGATTTCTCCGGTACCACCCGCCGCCCTAAGCGGGTGGCATTCCCCTATCCGCCACCTGGGGACGCGCCCGGTAGGAGTTGGCTGCTCCCCCGGGGAGCCAACATATGTCAACGTCCATTCATTTTGAAAGTCAAACTATATATACGGTATGTGCGCTGTAGGCGTGCGGGCGTCTGCCCACCGGCACGAAGACAGAAATCAATCTTTCTTTATCTTTGTTTTGAAGAACTTGTCTTATTTTTCCACTTTTAACATTCTATTAAAATGTCACTTCATATCAGAGATTAATGATTTTCTTTAGACAGAAAAAATCTTTATTTTTTAATGAATCGCAACACGCTTCAGGGCACCAACCTTTTATGTATACCTAAATACATATTATGTATATTACTTCACGCTATACCCCTTACAGTATAGTCACAGAAGCTTTCAAAAGGCACTTCGTTCCGACAAATAACATCATGACTCGCAAAATTTAAAAATTCTACACAAAAACATTCATCGTGAACATTAGGGTAAACCATATAATATCAAAATCATTTCAATAGTAATAATACAGTAAGGTACGAGAAAAGGCAGGCGTCAGATTTTAATTTTAGATTTTAATTATACCTATATATAAATATAGATTTCTAGGAAATATTATCAGGATTTTGAAATTAGTATATTTTTATTTATTAATAATTATAAAGAAAGTTATTAGACTTCCTTAGCCGTTGTGTTTTACTAAGATTTTATATTTATAATATACTAGCAGAACCCGCGGCTTCGCTCGCGCTAAAAAAATCTCTAAAAAGGTAGTTTCATATAAACTTTCATCCTGTAATTTACTCCCTTATAGGATAAATTTCGAGAAATGCTAAAGCACTTATTTATTTAATTTTGTTGAAAAGAATTAATACCAAATTTCAAGTAATTCTGATCATAAATATTTTTTTATTGTATTTTAATTTAATTTAATTATCAGAAAAAAGTGAATAGTTGTAAATTAAAGAAATAAACAACGGAAGTGCTATTTTACTAACATATCAATACTTAAATAGAATTTTTATTAACTGTTTACCTGAAAAATAACAATTTGTATAAATACTTAGCATTATAGACAGCGTGAAAATGTTTGTCTATAAAATATGAAGCCCCATAACTAATTCTACGTTCAATCTCCGCACCACTCAGATTTGGTCGACATCGGTTTAATTACTCGTAAATGCCTACCTTACCCTGCCTATAACTGTGCAAGTTGAATCGTTTCTCGTTTTGGAATGAAAGATAACTAGAAGTAGTTATATACAATATTCGTATAAATAAAAATTGTAATGTTATGTTTATAAAAAATTAGAATTAAAAAGAAACTTGGTGATTTTAGTTAGATTAGAATGGTTCTAAATAATCAATTTTAATGAGTGACAGAAATATAACGACGATCATATACGCTAGGTTATATGTAAAGTATGCAGTAGGTACACTTAAGCTACACAGTTATAACTAAAGCTCTAAGCTAAAGAAATATGTACTGTTTGTTATAGGGCAGTCACTGACTATAAAACCCCAGTAATACCCTCTAAAACCCAACGAAACCTTTCTTTTTTCATACACAGACATACCTTAGTAAGAGCCATCGTAAAAAACGGCATACCTTCTTCGTTGTCACTTCCGAATCTACAGACCATAAATATTTTTGAAATACCTTACAAGGTATGTCAATATATGTCTGGAACAACTATATATAAATGACCTTTTAGACGTTTAAACCTTAGTCTCTCCCATGACCATGATTGCTGTAAAGCATTCAACACGTCGGGAACCAAAAATCAAAAGTAAATCCGTAATAAAAACTGAAAAGAGTTTACTTATAAAAATAATTTAAAACCAATTCTATATCCTCACAATTAATTTTCTTTGTAGATCATCGAAGCGCTCAACTTCATCCACTACACGACTAGGCAAGTGCACCGCAACGTCTGTCCTCAAGTCGTCATTGTGACTAAACGCGGCACCTGGAAGCTTTTCGGTCTCGAATTTGCTGGTATGTATATATTTATCTTACTTCTAGTACCAGATGAGCAGATGTTTTTCTGCCACAGATCACGTTTGGTTGGAAAATTATAAAAAATATTACATTCTAATCTCGACAACCGAGTCACCGACCGGATCTAACTACAAACTAACATCCAGATGACCACATAAGTATATATAAACAATATCAAATGGTCAAGCCGTTTAAGAAGAAAATAATTACGAACATAACGAACACCAAAAAATTATTATATACTATTATCAATCGTGCTTTTTAGCAAATTACTAAATGGAGACTAAGTATCTGTTATAAATTGTTGATGCTCAACTTTAAAAGTATTTCACTTTCTTATAATAATGAGCATTTAGGGTTCTGTACCTCAAAAGGAAAAAAGGGTACTCTTATAGGAACACTTCGTTGTCCACCAAACTGTTTGTCTATTAAAACACAGAACAGTTAGTAGCTTAATAACAATATAAGAAATATTGCTACTTGCTATTGAGTTTTAAAATGAGGACATCCATATTTACTATTACATATTATAAATATGAAGTTGTGTTTGTTTGTTATCCATCTTTCACATCAAAACAGAGTAACGGATAGACGTGATTTATTGTGTGAAGGTAGTTGGAAGGCTGAAGAGTGAAAAAAGCTACTTTTTACCGCGGGATAATATCTCATTCCTACGGAAAAACACGTTATAATACAGCCCACAACAACTCATCATACCTATGTATATATAATATACTAGCGTTTTCCTGCGGCTCCGCCCGCGTAGTACATTAATCACCAACATATCATATACAATATCCTTCTCCAAAACACGCTGCATCTTATGGTATGAGTATTATTCCGATCGGTTCAGCAGTTTTCGCAGTATAACCGAACAAAAAAACCGGCTCTCTATTTATTAGTATATCTATACTATAAATGGTGAGCCGGTTTAGCCGGTTGGTCTATGCTATACTAATCGTTAAAACGTACCCAGGGACGAAACCGAGCGGAGCGAGGGTAAGCCGCTAGTTATATAAATATGCTTTCACAGTGATATAATATAAAGATAAATCTAATTCAAATCAACAGCACTAGACGAGTACGTAAACGCTTAAAAGCCCTGAATTCAATAACTTGCAGAAGTCGTTTCCATGAAATAAAATACAGGTTGTAGCGACTAAACTAAAAACAATAAATTTAGGTGCTTGCAAGTTTATTACTCGCGGCGGCAGTAAAAATGGACGTGGACAGAATCAAAACATCGACACAATTATTCAGCTCTAAATGCTAGCTTAGTGTATTATCTTGAAATATAGTTAAAAGATTGATATTTAAAATCTTCTTCTTAAAATTTTCTTCTTCGAAAATAAACGTTCATACAATATTTATAGTCTATCCAAACTTATTATTGAAATTCCTGTAAACGATTTCGGTTTTAGCATATCGGGATACTATTATAAACTATTAGGGTTACTCCAGAGTAGCATATGCACACCTAGCGAAGTGCCCGTAAATGTATTATATAGGCATTATTATGAAGTATTTCACTCATCTGGAATCTAATCTGAGAGCTCAAAGAATTCGTATAATTTTAAACGAAAATGAGTCTATGTTAAATAGTTTTAATAAAAAATAAATATGTAAATAATAAAAAAAGTAAAGTTAGAATCCTGTACTGTGATGATTAATTAGTTATATCGCCTACTCTTTTATACCAAAGGAACACTACCTTTTCCAGAGGAAAAGTCTATCCATTCGCTGGTCCATAACTGTCTACATGGTATGATGAGAATACTGAATGATTAATAGCTATATTAATGCTATACATCAGATATCAACTAAAAATAAAACAATAAGACTCGTACATACTAAAAACAGACACACTTAAATGTATAATTTTAAGAGTATCAAAGATACCAGATAATGGGCATCCCATCTTATTTTATGCGATGGACAGATTTTTATAACTTATTTTTTAATGTACAAGTTTGTACAATTGACATAGACCCGTATAGATTAAAAAATCGGAACGTTGACTTAACAATAAGATCAGGAACGTCAGGAAGACCATATTCTATACATATAATAAAACTGTAACTAAGCCGAATCTGTACATTCAATATTTTTTGGAAAATCTTATTGAAATTAACATTATTATCGATACAGAGGCCGAATCTATAATTTTTGGAATGTTTGTATGTCTGTCTGTCTGTTACCGCATCACAGAAAAACCACTGGAGGAATTTTGATGAAATTTGGTATGGTGATAGCTGGTTATCCGGGTCAACATATAGGATACTTTTTACCCTGGGAATATATCTCATTTCTGAGAAAAAATGCAAAAACTGTAATATAAGAGTATACTAATATGTAAAACCTAAGAATTTGGTTTTTGGTCATCTGAACGCGGACGAAGCCGTGGGCAATGCTAGTATATAATATGTACGTATTTAAAGTTATATATGTGTAGTGTATCAACTATCCGGTATCCATAACACAGACCTCGTAGCTTACCATGGAACTAAATGGTGCTATGTGTTAATGTCCCAACATATTTATGTATATTTATTTCATTTTTCTTACATATACTGCAAACAAAATGTCGGAATCAAAGGTTAAAAAGCATTTGAAAAGTATTATTTTGGAAAAATATTTCATTTAAAATACAATTATTGCAAATGTTACTTAAGAGGTATACTAATTAGGTTAAAATCATTTTATTCATAACATCAATTGCTCATATTTTATCAATTTCAACGTAGCATTTATTTGGAAATCATCGTCCAACACGAGTTGTCCGAATTGATGATACAAAGAGGCGTATTATATTGTACAAAGCTATTAATTTTGCGATATTAATTCTACGTTCATCTGATTAATTTTAATATTCATAATTGTGTATGCAGTACTACTGTATCATTTGCTTATTGGAATTATTTTTTTTTTATTAACTATTGAGTTCAAGATTTCGTCGTTGTGAATACTCTAGTAGGCACAAAATATTCATAACAAATATATCTAATTTAATGATAAATCAACACTTAATTTCTCAGTTCCATAATCACAAAAGTTACTTCAATGAAGATCGCATTAAGACAATATTCTATCGTTACGTGTATTGGCAGACAAACAATCAACCGTCGCATTACTTGAGTCAAAAAGTACTTAGTTGGTATCTATGAAATAAAAATATAACTACTGTAGTTTTCTGATCTGACTGACGCCTTACGAATCAAAAACCCCAAATCACAACATTTATATTTAGTAAGTTTCTTATAATTGCGATACTCGTTGTCAAGTACAAGTTGTTCTTGTATTTGATTTTTTATTTATGTGTTATTCTAGCTCGACCATAAGTCTAGATATTAGAATTACAGTGCAAGTGTATCCCTTGTCCAGAAAGGCTGTAATTTTTTTGAAACGAGCAAAGGCCAAAAAGCATAATCATCGAACTATAATGAAATACAACATCACAGACTTATTAGCCGAATTACATGATTCTAAAGTCGTAAAACATTGTATGCGAGTTGTATCATGGTACTCTCTTCTTCTAACTTAAGAAACATAAAGTACAAAGAAATGGCAATAAATAGAGATAGTGGAGCTTACTACATAAAATAAAAATATTAAGTAATTAATGCCCGATTTCACCAACGTCACCTAAGTTTAAGGGATCCCCTAAGCATGGTTAAGGGGCTGTTAGGGGACAGTTTCTGTTTTACCGACAGTTAAGGGTCATCTAAATATTAAAAGGCCCCCTAAATTTACGTGCTCGAAATATGGGCTTAAAGACGATCGTAAAACGAAATTTAATTTAGGGACTAGTTTAGGGGACTTTTATGCTAGGGATCCGTAGGTGGTAGCCATGACCGAATTGTGGCTAATTCTTTCATGGTGGTAGCTTATGGGTTGTTGGTGAAATCGGGCATAAAACATTTCAGCTATGTCACTTACTGCGTGACATATTGCATAATCGAGTGATCGTGATAGGTAGGCAATACAAAAGTCGTTTTGATTTTAATTTTTTTGTGTTAAACCTGGGTGTGAAACAGTTTAATATTTGGACGATTCAATCGAATATTTACAATAACTTTTTACACGTGCACGTGTATATTTGCACGAGCTCAAAAGTCCGCTGGCGATCTCTTTGTAATTTACACTAAAAGTGTGATTTTATACAGCGTAAAGCTTTTGATCAACGATATTTTGATTTCATTGAACAGAACAGAATAAAAATAAATTCACGTAGGCGGTGGCAAGAACTCTTTTAATAAGAGAAATGACATTTCATTATTTCCAATATTGCATGCAGTACGTAATGAAAAATATCTATCGCTTCTCAGCGTATTGAGTAATTGCTTGACGATATTAAATATTATATCTATCTTTGCACTCTGTAAAAGTATAATTTAAAATTGTGTTCAATTATTTAAGAATTTAACAAGTAAATTATATAAAATATATATAAAAGAGAATTTGCTATAAATTAAGCCTGAAGGCTAAAAAGCAAAAATGTAATAACCATCCAGATACCGTACAAAATTCACAGCGAAGGCTACATCAAACACCGGGATCAAATTTTAATTACTTCGAATATTGCTCAGTCCGATGAAACCTTACTTACGGTTAGCTCTTAAAAATGTGAGCATGCGGTATAAAACAATAATTAACAGGCTCTACAAATACTTAGCATGTCAATCTTTCATATTATATGAATGTTTGTCTTGTCATCAGTAACCCTCATCTATTGTATTCTATACAATTATAATAAAATTCTAACCGAGCCGAATCTGTACATTAACTATTTTTTTTTAAATCTTATTGAAGTAATTAATATTATCAATACAGAGGCCGAATATATAGTTTTAAGAATGTTTGTGTGTCTGTTGGTCTGTGACCTCATGACGGGAAAACCACTGGACGGATTTTGATCATTAGATGTCGCCATATTGTGTTTTGAAAGTACGTAATTTTAATTTGAAAAATAAATGTACAGATGTGACCTGTTTATGATT